GGGTCTACCATACCAGACAGGACCCCAGGTGCAGGCTGTGCAAAGATGCCCCTGAGACAATCCAGCATATAACAGTGGGGTGCAAGATCCTAGCAGGCAGGGCATACATGGAACGCCATAACTAAGTGGCTGGCATAGTGTACAGAAACATCTGTGCCAAGTACAGGCTGGAAGTCCCAAAGTCAAAATGGGATACACCTCCAAAGGTGGTTGAGAATGACCAAGCTAAGATCCTGTGGGACTTCCAGATACAAACTGACAAACTGGTAATGGCCAACCAACCGGACATAGTAGTGGTGGACAAACAGAGGAAGAAGGCCGTAGTGATAGATGTAGCAATCCCAAGCGATAGCAACATCAGGAAGAAGGAACACGAGAAGCTTGAGAAATACCAAGGGCTGAAAGAAGAGCTAGAAAAGATGTGGAAGGTGAAGGCACAAGTGGTCCCCGTGGTAATAGGAACATTGGGGGCCATGACCCCCAAACTGGGAGAGTGGCTCCAACAGATCCCAGGAACAACATCTGAGATCTCTGTCCAGAAGAGTACAGTCCTAGGAACAGCTAAGATACTGCACAGGACCCTCAAGCTCCCAGGCCTCTGGTAGAGGACCTGAGCTTGAAAGAAGGAATACAAGACCGCCTCAAAGTGGGGGCAAGTGGAGATTTTTTTTTAATATATATATGTGTGTGTGTGTGTGTGTGTGTGTGTGTGTGTATATTGTATGTATGTATGTATGTATGTATGTATGTATGAATGAGGTTGTGATGGATCTGTCTAATTGCTAGTTTATGTGTTTATGTTGCAGCTGGCTGGAGTTGCTTTTATTGCGGCTGGTTTTTGGGCGTGGAGTGAAAAGGTAACTCAGTGCTCACAGTCAGAATCCACCATATTGACCTCAATCTGAATTAAACAGAATCTCTCATAAAGAACAGTTTCTTGGCAACATATAACAATTATCAATGCATTATATTAATATCTGAAAGGGATGCTCTTTGTACTGGTCTGTTTCTTTACTGTTTTACTGGTCTGACTGTCATGTTCTGGTCTGTTGTGGTTCACAGGGAATCCTGTCGGACCTGACCCAGGTGACCCGGCTGCGTGGTTTTGACCCGGTCTGGTTGGTCCTGGTGGTTGGTGGAGTCACCTTCATCCTGGGCTTTGCAGGCTGTGTGGGAGCTCTGAGAGAAAACATCTGTCTGCTTAAGTTTGTATGTTAACAGTTTCTGACCGCTAAACTTTATATATTTAAAACAGCTTGCTGTAAAATTTCTTTGTTTAAAATCATTTTTGTCTTTTATGCATCAGTTTTCAGGCCTAATCGGATTCATCTTCTTCTTGGAGCTGACAGCGGCAGTTCTGGCGGTGGTTTTTCAGAGTCAGGTCAGAGATTGGATCAATAAGTTGTTCCTGGCAAATGTGAAAGCATACAGAGAGGACATCGACCTGCAGAACCTCATCGACTCTCTGCAGAGGATGGTAACTGTGTCCACTGTTGTTACTGTTGTTTCTACTGTTAATTCAAATTCAGTTTTATTTTGTTGTGATTTGGCACTATACAAAGTCATCTCAGGACCCTTTACAAAGTAGGCCGTGCTATTATTATAGAGGAAAACCCAACAAAATCACTGAATAATCACTGAACTATGCAACAACAAAGAAATTAAAGGTCTGGGGGAATTTCAGCAAAACTCGGAAGGAGCTTGTTCACGTAGAGTGAAGCGTCTGGTGTCGTGTTCTCTGCAGCCTCTAAGCTGCTGTCCACACTGTGTGGAGGAGCTGAGCCCCGCCCTTGGTGAGACACCAACAGATGCGGAGCAGAGATCTCTTGGAGTACAGATATGTTCTCAGTCTTTACAAACTAGGAACTTGGAGTACGTCGCTGCAGTGTATTGCTGAATATTTTTTCACATTTACGTACACAGATTTTCACTTACATACAGTATGCAAGTGAACTGCTTGCACCGTAGAGTCCTGCCTTTAGTTCAACTTCAAGCTACACCTTTAGGTTCTTGCTCCGATGGATGAAGTGTCTTTCTCTTTAAATAGAACCACTGCTGTGGTGCTCAGCAACCCGACGATTGGGATCAGAACATTTACTTCAGCTGTAATGAGACTCATCGCAGTAGAGAAAAGTGCGGAGTTCCTTTTTCCTGCTGCATCACTGATCCTGCTGTGAGTGTATCACTGTGGATCAGTACATGATACTAATTGCCAGGGTTGCATATAAAAAATACAAATCTGTTTATGTTAAAACTGGTTCCTCCTAAAGTTCAGTTTGCATTTCAGGATTCGGTGGTGAACACTCAGTGTGGCTACGATGTGAGAAAACGACCGGAGGTGAGATCACAACGTTCTAACAACATGTTAACATTCTCACAGGAGCATGTTCTGTAATGTTCTGTAATGTTCCCGTACAGGGGGAGTGGAGTAATCATATCTACGTTAAAGGGTGTATCACAGCTTTGGAGGACTGGTTACCCGGAAATCTCTACACTGTGGCCATTGTCTTCATTGTTGTCTCTCTGCTACAGGTACAAATATTCTCTCTACTGCAGTACTGCTACTGCATCTGTACACATTTTGTACTGTAACTTTAAAATGTTTACATCTTAAATAAGGTCTTAATTTCAGAAAAAAACATTTCTAATATAAAGATTTGATAAAATAAGATCAATGGCAACATTTATTTTGAAAACTCTGGGTTTAGTCACCTAGACGACACTCAGAGATGCAGACCTCTCCTCCACCAAGGGGCAACTCAGTTTCCCTTTAAGGCCATAAAAGCAATATTCCCAGGACAGTGTGACCCTCATAATACGATTGCTTGACCCTGAAAACCTACCGCTGGCATTTGAAATGAATCCTGGTATCATCATTAGTCTGAAGGATATTCAGGAAAAACAATACGTGGTGACGTTAAGTGAAGCACAGGATGTAATGTGCGGCTGGAACAACGGCATCCTCACCGGCAGACTACTGAGCTCTGAACCAGATGTACAGTCATGTGAAAAAATTAGGACACCCTTTGAAAGCATGTGTATTTTGTAACATTTTTTAATATATGGTTATTTTATCTCAATTTTAACAATACAGAGAGATTAAAGTAATACAAGTAAACAATTAAAACTGAAGAAAAGTCTTTTCAAGATCTGTAAATGTAATTCTACAAAAATGCCTATTCTAACTGAGGAAAAAGATAGCACACCCTCACATGTATGCCCTCTTAAAATGGCTCAAATCACACACAGGTATATCACACCAGGTGCACATAATTAGTAGATCATTACTCAGCATTTTGAATGAGGCTTGCCCTATCTGAACCTCAGACATTTAGTTTGGTGTGCTCCTGACTGTTGAAGTGAGAGTGAGCACCATG